TGCGAGTTTATTGATGTTTCGGTATTTTTATAATTTACTGACCATAATCACTGAATGAAGAATATAAAAAAATAATTTCAATTTCAGAAAACAACGTTAATATATTTTACACAGAGTACTTCCCGCATTCCAACATTTCAAGACCCCAAACAAAAAATTTGCGATAATCTAAAGGATGTTGACATGACAACACAGAAATTTGTTGAACATTTGTTTAAAGCACTGCTGGAACGGAACTCTACTCTTCGTGGCATTTTAAACTACTTACGCCCAGACACAAAGTTTCTCGATAGAATTCGAAATTTCTTATATAAAATTGATCTATTAATCAGATATGTTTATTTCAAAGATAATATTGCGAAAGCTGTCTCCCAAAAATATTTCTAAAAAATGATTTTGTTCCGAATATGGCATGATATTTCTTATAATGGTAATGGTTTATTTAATTTTAGAATGTAGTGACTTATTTCTTTATTTTGTCGAAATGCCTTGATTTATTTTAATTATTTTACTATACGTTTGGCTCTTTTGTAATAGAGAATATTTGTAATGCTCTGTTTTTTCATTTTCCTTTTTTAGTATCAGATTTGCTTGAAAATGATATAATTTTAAAATTTATGCATTCCTTTTAAACACCCCGCACTATGGGTGGTAGCTGGTAACCCTATAGCCAAATAAATGCTGCTCTTTTTGTTATCTATCCAATTCAGACTAATTTCGTATCTGAATAACAACACCTTTTTAATAACGCATCCAAGACTCGACCAACGGGAATGCAATGTCAAGGTCGCGATCACATTTCAACATTATAAAGATAGCCTTCAAATAATTATGGCAATCTTTACTCGCCATATCCAAAAAAAAAAATCTACATTTTATGACAATGTCACGAAATTTAATTTTCTTGTGAACACCAAAGTTGACTTGATCACTATATTGGGCAAGAACCACCAGCAAGCACTACTAGAATATCATTTGCCGATTTCTCCTTAGGCGACATAATGTTTTATAGAAAAAAAGATTAATTCCTTTAAATATCTAAGTAAAAAAAACACCTATGCGTTTATTAGGGAACTATATATGATTTTATTTTCAGTTTGGTTTGCACCAAGAGGTCGTTTTTGTTTGGTTGGATTGAAATATTTTATAGAATTATATTTTTTACACTTAATAATTTAGTTTAGTATATTTATATATTTTGACCTTGGAATTTTCACACTCTCGCGGATGATCCCTACATCTACCGTTCAAACGTCTCGAACATTGGACAACTTGTACTTTGTTTCCAGGAATTTAGGTCCTTAATTTTATGTATGCTTTCATGAAAGCGAAAAAAAAATAGAACGTTATAGAAATTTTATGACCAACATTTTTTCAACAATCTCTATATTTTCATTTCTCTTTGTTTCTTTTAAAGCTGCTTCCCTTTGACTACAAATTTGGTGTGTGATTTTTTAATATCCCCGGAAACTCTTGAAATGCAAACTCTGTACAGTGTTTTTTTGAAGTTATACCTTCTGGATCCACATAGATACTAGAGAAATAAAATGGGGTAATTTTTACTGTAGCAGGGCCACCATCAGTTGAGTCTTGGAACAATGTCAAAAAATATTTAACTAAAAACTTCAGAATTCCGTATATGTAACGTACCCTTGGTAAATGCTAAAATAAAAATCATTAAATTCAATAATTTATTAAATAAAATAAGTTACATTTAACTTAAAAAAATTACCAGCGTGCTAAATTACGATCATTTAACTTGAATTATTTGGGCTTCTGCTAATATTAATTAGACAAATGATGCTAATGTTTTTCCCATCCCTCATTTTTAATATTGAAATATTGATTGTTTAATTAACTTAATTTATTTTTATAAATATTTGCTGATGGAAGACAAGATTTTTAGCAGTTGGCAAAGAAGTTTTTAAAGAAAGCATTCTTGATTTTAAATTAATTTAATTAATTACAGCACAAATCGAGGCATGTTCATGTACCCATATATATCTAATTATAAACATGTCACATTAAAAGTGTGATCATGAATCACACATATTTATTATTGATATCAGAACTTTTTTATAAACAGATCGCGTGACACCTTTGCAAGCAAACGGCTGAACTGGCAAATTACTGCTTATGCATCTATGCATATGACGAATGCCGACTACACTAATGACAAATTTTCTTCGAAAATTTTCTATAGCTTTATTGATATTGCGAACGCAAATTCTCGTGCCATTCTCTTTCTAAGTACTTTCAGAAAATATAAAAAAACGGCTATGCCATTGTAAGCCACGTTTCCAAAGGTGTACGTGTCGTTATCAGTATAATTCGAAGCGTATAATGGGAGCGTTACCCCAATTCGCTGATAACAAAACCCGCATATATTATTTTTAATGCAGGCGGAAAGAGTAAAGCACAACATTTAATAATAATGCGCCCACCAGACCGTAATACGGCAAATGGTTTCTCGCTGTGGAAACGACGGAAAGTGTTCCTTTGCATTATTGATTGCAGTTCATTGGTGAAAGCTAGTAAAAATTCCGCCCGGCCACACACTGGGGAGGCCAACAAGCCTTGAAATTTATGGTAGTAACTTTTATTTTTTAAATGTCCTGTTTAACCAGGATTTAGTGTATACCCTCTTGACATAACAATTTTAAATTAAATATAATTAAAGTTTTCAAAAATTCCAGCACACTCAGTTTTTGGGAATAAGGTTTTAAATTCCGGGATCCAGTTATATTTTTTACAACTCCTTTTCGCACTGAGATTCATGAAACGCAGAAAACATAACTTAGGTATGGTGTTGGCAACCTAGGTTTTTAGATTTTAGCATCATTTACCAAAAAACGAAAAATAAGTCTTTGAAAAAAACTACGCATCCCAATCTTCAATTATGTTAATGTTTATATATATATATATATATATATATATATATATATATATATATATATATATATATATATATATATATATATATATATATATATATATATATATATATATATATATATATATATATATATATATATATATATATATATATATATATTGCGTACCAATTCCGGATGAAAGCCATTTTTCAAAGCCACCAATTTATTTTGTCCGTTAGAATCAGAGTTCAACATAAAAATATTAAGTTGTTCTTACAGTCTCAAATGTTTTTCAAGATTATATTGAAAAAGTTTTCATTTCATAACATCTTAGTTTTTCTTGGATATTTGGAAAGTTTTTTGAAAAATACCCTATACATCGCATTTCTTCTGCAAATATGAAGTAAACTGAAACCGTCAAATTCTATGTTAGTGTGTGTGTGTTGGTTGAACACGATATAGACAGCACCTATATATTATATAATCTTCATCGTTTCAAGTATTCAATGATGCAAATGTTTGAAGAAATAGGAGAAATAGTCACGCACGTTGTTATTGCAATCAAACATGAAGCGTACTATCCCCATTGTTATAAGCGGAATTTGGTCGAAAACTTAACTAAACGAATGTAATAAAATTGTAACAGGAAATATCCTTATCTACGAGTACGTTTTCCTGCTTCTAAACTGTTTGTGAAATGTGCTCGTAATGAATTATTGAAATTTGTAATGCTGATATTAGCAGAGAGATAACAATGTTGAAGAATCACGTAGGAAATATTTTTGTTCAAAGGACGCTCGACTGCATTTTGAAATTCTTATTTGATCAGTTGATTCATTAAAAATATTTTGAGCCTCTGAATTTACAGATAAAATTTGTTCAGGTCTGCCTTAAAATGAAGCTTTTGCTAGACGGTGTCACAAGTTGCCATTATTTTTGGTAAGTTTGTTTGTGGACTATTATCAAGTTTATTGTCGTTTGTTATCAAGAAAAGGTTACATCAGAAGTGGGATAATTTCTTGTGAAAAAATCGATGAAGAAACTAAAATGGGCTTTTATTATATGAAACAAAAGGATTGAATACGAACAACTTAAACAAACTCACGGTTGGTGAAGTAGTTAGCGCGAACAATATCGGAGGTCAATTAAACTTGTCAGGCGCAGTTGAGCGATTAAGGAAAGAAATGATAAGAACATTGCTGCTGGAGAACAAATACTGATATTTGGCTCATAATTTATGGGGAGAGATTAGAACCTTCACTTGCAAATTGCATTGCTACACCTTTGTGACACCGGAAGGACGAAAGACGATATATTGATTATTCGAGTGGGTATATTAACGTAAAAAACATCTTGCAATTATCAAATTAGTCATATTATATTTATTATTATTTAAACCCCAATAAAGTCTGAAGTAGAAATTTTGAACTAGAATATTACTTCATTGCTAAATTTATTACTTTCTTATTACGTTATGAAGTTCGACATCACGAAAACTCGGGCAGAAAATCTGGACTATTCCATAACATTTTAGGAACACCAAATGCAAAATCAAATACAAAGTAAAAATGGGCGAGTCAAATGTAAAATGTAATTGTGTGAAAAGACAAACTTCTACATTTTATAAAACCCACTTTTAGAATTTATTCTAGACATTAAATTACGTGTCCTGTATTGATCAAGGTTTCTCTTGTATGGTAGTTAGAATTCGATTCTCCAGTATTACATTTACATCAATAAAGTTAAATTAAAAATGAAATCTGCAGTGTAATATAGGGCTACGTGTCAATCGCTGATTAGTACTGAGAAGTACGAAAAACTTATTTTTCTGGCTAAAGCTGAACGAGATATTTCATTCCTTATTATTGTTCGATGCCACCACTACATCATCCCTAAACTCTGTTTATACTACAAAATTGGGTTCTTTATGAACAAAACAGAATCTAATTCTCCCGTATGAAAATCTCTATTAACGATATCGAGCGAAAGTCTATATGTAGACCATAAATCCAATTACCATTACCATTTCAGCCAACGATGTTATACTTGGAAGCAGGTAAAAGAGCGATAAAATTTCTACAGGCACTCATGGAATCTTATAAAAAAGAAACACAGTTTACTCACTTTGAAATAGAGCTGACTGGTTCCAGTCCTCCAGTATAACTGATGTGACTCGTGAGTTGAGTCAACTGTGTCTGTCCTTGTTCACAAACGACGTTAGAAATTTGATGTTGGTCATGTTCTGACGCGGGCGTCCCATGGATGGTGGTTAAATGGGTGTACGGTGTTCTGTTGGGTGGGTCCGGACTCGGAGACTCACTTTGATGCGATGATTCGCAATTTGTGATAATATTGGCGTTTCCCAATTGAAGAAACGTACCAGGCGCCTCTTCTATTTGAACCTGTTATGCCAAATTAAAAAAAGAATGGTTATAGGAACATTCTGTTTGGCAATATCAATTATATAGGGAGTGTCAGTTTTTTGCAGTAGGGCCTTACAAATGAAGAAAGCAATAGACTAGATAAAATAGGCAGATTCATTAGGGAACCAGCTAACCATCCATATAAACTGCATTTCTGTTTAAGTTTTTCAATTTCCTCCCGTATTGTCGAAAATAATGGATTGAAACCACCAGAGTTAACTTCTTTTATTATTTTAAAATCATGAATAAGTAAGCGCGTTTTAATTTTTTAAAAAACGTGTTAGAGAAAGATATTTTTTGAATATAAAGGAAGTCAATCAAGCTTTTGCATGTTGTCTGTTGACCTGTTCATCAATTTATGGCCGTATATTGGAAAAGTTTATTAGATTAAGTATAATCTACTTTTTGTGTTTTATGTCACCGGCATTCCCTGTGGCAAGGGAGAGATAAGGGGATAAAAGGGGCCCTGTTTGAGCGTTTCGCAGGATTTTAGCTATATCTTGGTTTACAACTTGCAATAATAGTTTTGAAATTAAATAAATTAAAGAAAATTTCTTAAATAAATCTTGCAATATCTTACAAACGGAACCTTGCGATAGGGAATCGTATGTCATTTGGGTTATTACAATTTTCAACATTATTGAAGAATGCAATAATATATAAATATATAGAGCATTCCAAATCAAAGAACGAGTAACTATCGACTCCCGGTGTGTACCTGCATGGGTAACTCCTAAATACAAGCAACTTTTATATGAAGGTTTTTTTAGTTGTTCTTGCTGTAATGTATCTGAATTTTAAAAATTGTTTAAAATATTTGTCAAAGTCCTACAAAAAAGCTAACTCACCAATGCAAAACGACGTGGTTATGCTAGAAACGAAACGCGAAGCGGTCCCACCTACCGCAAACGATTTAATATTCCCTTGCTATCTCTTAGGTAGAAATCTACTCACGTCCTCCAATCTAAAGTTAGATATAAACGCTCCAGTGTCCGTCCGTATCAGAGTGGGATAGCTGTCCTGTTCCGTTTCCCGCGACGTTGCGTAAGTCGTGAATTCGATGGGAGTGACCGACCTGGAGTGGGGAGATGGCACTGCCCCTTCGTGTAAAGAGGCGGGGCTATACTCCGTTGTCTGATGCTCATCGCTGTACTGAGTCGCTGAAAAACAAAGTGTTAAAGTGACGTTGGTTGCCTAGCATTAGTTGTTGCAAATTTAAATCGGTGAATTCTTGAATGCCTCAGAATGCACGAAAGACGTAGTAGACAAATTTTTCGTGACCAAGCTTTTCAGCAAAGTTTAGGCAAAGAACTGTCAAATTTTTGTGAGATTGAGGTTGTGGTGATTTGTTTTTGGCGGCTAAGCGGGTTTTTACAACTTTGTGGTTGCCTTTTTTGCATTGTTTGTGTCAAAATTTTAATAGGTTCCAAGATACAATAATAACCTTACCCATAATATTATTGTCAATAATTAATAATGTAATAAATACACAAAATCGCATTAAGTTCATTTTAAGAATAAATGTTTGGTAATTAATTAATATTCCATTAAAATCGAGTGTGACGTGATTGGTGTTTTCAATTAGGTTCAATGAAACATTTAACATCGAAAGAACTTCTTTTATTTTGTTGTTTAATGACTTCCGGTGTTAAAATAAAATGAGCACCTATACCTATACACCTATAATAACAGTCGATGCGATAAGAACGAGAGAATTTAAAATTAGGCACACGTAAACAGAAATTTTATCGTTTGCTTACGCTTACGCCTTTTTTTACAATGCTATCTGTCTAGAAGGCTCGCACAGAAAGCCTAATCGGCAAAATATTAAGGCAGGTCAACGAGCGATTAATGTATCAATTTTATTATTTGCCGTATCAGTTTGTAAAGTAGTAAGGCGAATAAAAAAATTATCAGCATAGCTTGCCTTGCAACGAAATCACAAATTTTAATTATTCGTAGCATTTAAAAGAGCAGTCAAGTTTTACAATTCAGGCGAATGCGCCGGATTAACGATTCGCCTTTTACACATTTTCATTAAGTTAATTGTTATCTTATAACAGAATTGTTTGGTAGAGGGTTTTTCAACATTCTTACGACTATTAAATTACATACTTATGAAATATTGGCTGTGTCAAATTACAGTATCCAAACTTTAACGTTCAATACATACCCTAATTTCCGAGTTACATTAATTGAGATCGTGCCACGTGAAATTTTAGTCGTGAAAACTTATGGAGATTTCATAAAAGATTTTTATTTTCCGAACGCAACTGGTTTTTACTGGTTTACAAATCCTGTTGACTTCTCCAGAGCTTAACTGTAACTGATTTTTCAACAACAACCGATCTGTGGAAGTTTCTTTGAAAAAAGCAACTGCTGGGGATTTAAAAAAAAAATCGTACACTGAAAAGTATCCCTTAAGGTTTGAAAGGTATGTACTTATGATACTTAGAGTAATATGAAAAATATAAACGATTTTCTGTCTAAACCTCGCCTCGAATCTCGAAAGCGAAGCATTTCGACGTTTATATACGTATAGGACATTGGGACTGAGGGTTTAGGCTTTACTTAAATATTCTACCCTAATATAAACAATATAAATCATATTCATTATATTCATAACCGTGGTACACCAGCCCAATTTGTAGATGGAGTAATTTAAACCCGTTATGCAACCTGATCAATCCGTTTTAAATTTCTAATTAATAGCAGTGAGTTCGTGTGAGTATTTTAATGAGCTTGAAATAAGCGACACCCAAAAATAAATCAGTGAAATCGATTTGTTACACAAACATTTCGGTAGCTTACGTTAGATTCTGACCCCGGGGGTCAAGCTTGGAAACATTAATTTAGGTTCGCCGCCGCTTTAAAAAAAAAATAAATTGGTTGAACGCAGTTACATAAGGGGTAATAGTGAATTATGATCCCAATAGATGTGAGAGTGTTCTAAGACTGTTATTACATAATTTAATAAAAATAATAAAAGCAGTTTTATTTCTAAAGTATGTAGCTATAGATTTGATCTATCATACATGGCATACATGTTTATTATTTTTTATTAGTACATCTAAATATCCAAAAACAGTCGAACTTAAATTTACTTAAACTTAAACTTAAACTTAAAAAACTTTTTCAGAACAACCTGAAAAGTTTAAAATCAATAAGTAACCTGCTTTAACTTCACAGATATGGTCTGTTCATAGATATAAGAAAGTGACCAATTGCTTTTGAATGTAATTATCCAAAGGTGGTCATTAACATAAAATGCAACAAGATTTTTTCCTAAAGTTTTGGAATTTAAATTCAGGTAAAATTGTGGTCCGTAATAGAAAATAGTTTTATACCTACCTGTGTTTAATATTCTTTGGTTTGGTATACTACTTATTTTAAGTTTATTAGTAATAATTCTTATTTCGTGTGTAATACAGCGTGTGTTGAATCGTGTGCGAATTATGCAAAATATGTGCGAGTCTAGTGTATCTCAGGAGATGCTCCCGCCCAAATGTAGAAAACACTATTCTATTGAGACTAAGGAAGTTATAAACAATGTTTACGTGACCCTCATTGAACGTGGTGCCAGCAAGCAAGCATCTTTAGAAGAAACGGCCACATTGACGAAAATTCCAACATCAACTGTATGGAAAATTGTGAATAACATTTCAGCGAGTATGGAAGTGTATTCCACACATGAGTTTTAGATTTAAAAAAATTGACAATAGGCAAGTTTTAATAGAATCTTTTAGAATTCGGAAATGGCGACTGGAATATCTAGAAAAAATTAGGATTTACAGAGAACAACAAAGGCCAATTATTTACTTGGATGAAACCTGGTTCGACACTTATGCTACAAATAATTAAATTCTAAGCAAAGTACGGACCTGTTCGGCCAAATATCATTCGTACAGCTCTGGTCTTTCCTAAATTCGTATCAGTTAGTCACTTTCTTATATCTATGAACAGACTCTTTACCTACGAATCTTACTATTGCATTAATGGATAACTCATAATTTGATTATATACTGGGTAGCTCATTACTGTCGGACTGTTTTATTATTTTCTTATTGCAAAAAATTTTAAATGGAAGAGATTCTGATTATTTAACTTTATTTTGAACACTACGGACGACTCTTTCGAAATTGATATTAATTAGGGCAAATTACATTACATTCAAAGCTGCAAAACTTTGTTTTTTTCAAATAACACACCCTATTCCTTCCCCTATAAACGATTTTATTTTCTTCATCAAATATCTTTGATAAACTTTGATACGTTGTTGATTTTAGAGTTAAACGACTATATATATGGTCTAGATGACTAAATCGGTAGATTTGTAGACTGCGAGAAACTATAGTGTCGTCTACGCTTTTACACACTAGACAGAAATTGTCGAGTTGTATTCAGAATGCGTTTGCTACTCCAAATGCACTTGGAAGGTCTATTTCTCGTTATTCAGTATTTAATACCTTTTTTTTATTTCATATTTTATTCGTGGCTATGATCTAATACATTTTGCCGTGTGCCATATTCATTTTATTTCATAAAACAAAATTATGTTTCGGTGTTTGCCAAAAATCAAATTAAAAAAGAAACTATGAAATAAAAATAAAACTGTTGAAAATAGGCAGAGGTATAGTCTATGGATACAGAATTATTCTGCATTAGAACATAATATATAAGTAGTCGTGTTTAATGAATCAATATTTTTTAACCTCAAAAAGTATTGATATTAGGTAAGCGTTATCTTGAAGGAGCATATACCATTAAATTTGCTGAGGTGATAGGTTAGGTGTTATAAGATACTGACGAGATACCCTTTATAATAGTAAGTCTTTTCATTGTATGTGTACAAATAACTTTTTTATTTAATATTTTTCGATATAACAAACTCAAACAAACTTAATTATAAAAGAATGTCGTCGACGCTGTATATCGAACGTATTACCTAGTTGTTTCCATTTGTCTACACATATAACTTAGAATAAATATTAAAATCTACAAATAAAATATTAAGATGAGAGCGGAATTTTTTTGTATGAATATGAAATTGGCAATGCAGAATTCAAAATATACACACATGATTTTTTGCAAAGTAAATTTTAAACTAGAAGCCCCGAGCAAACTGAATCAGAATTTTAGAGGTTTCATGTTCCAACCTCATGGAATTAAAAGATGAAGTAAGACACTGTATTCCAAATAAAATTCCATTTAAATTTTTCTTTTATGTGGAAATTTTTAAATAACTAGTTCTCTTTGGTAATTTATTACAGCAGTGACTGTTGCACTTTTACTACAACACATTTGGGCAACAAAAAGTTGAGATCACCATATCTGCACTTTGTGCTTTTTTTCATCATATCAGGTCAGCACGTTACTTATGCAAGTCAGCAATAAGTATTTATTTTTGTCTACTAGTGGATAAAATTCTGGCAAAGTTTAACACGAAAATCCATTTTAAACGATTTTATTGAAGTGTAATGTAATTGCCACACAATTAACGGAAATAACCTCTAGCCTGTCATTTGAAAGAATCCGCCCATCCCGACAGCTTCCATTATCTCGGAGCAAACGTCCAGGAAGTCCGTCGCCTGCATCAAGGGATAAACAGGATTCATGTTTGTACTGTTATCAGATAACAATCACAACAAATACAATGCCTCGTATTTTTATCGTTTTACTTGATGGTCGTTGCCAGCGGCAAACGTTATTTTCATATTTATGGTTTAACGTCCCCTTTTTATGTTTTTCTTTGCCAAACATTTGCGAGTTGAGTGACATTGGTTTAATTGTATAAAAATCACTTACGATTGGCACGATATAAGGGGGAATAATGAAGAATGGGGGGAAGGGCGATATCATTTATTGCAGTCAAGCAAAAAAAATCAAAAATTATATGTGTAGATGCTTAAAAAGTTATTTTAGATTTTTTATTTTGCCATTTTTTTATTACCAATACCAAAATTACCAAAGGTAATTTTATTGTCACAAATCTTGACATTAATATGATTGAAGTTTTTTATATTTTTGCTTGGATTTTATTGGAATTGAAAGAAAGGTTGTGTGTTGCACACGTTTAGGAGCATATAAATATTTAAGAGACGTAGCAACCACGCAAAACTTTTATTGAAATTTGAGCACGATGTACATTGTGGGTCAACCA